ATTAATTTTTTTTTTTTTTGGGGGGGGGGGTTGGAACTTGACTATGAATTTTTGTTTTTTCAAACATCGCCATAAAATAATAATATTAAAAAACTCACAATCTTTTACAATTGTTCGGTATGGGTTTTCATACTTTTTAGTTTTTAAAGTTTACATGAATATTTATCAAGTACCATCACCGCATTGATATGTGCTTATCCGAAAGACTGATAATGGTACCCTCTTAAGGAGTTGACAATCCCAGAAGTGGCTACAGCAATGAATCAGAAGAAAATCTGAATTTCAACAAAATAAACAATTCTCACAAAAGGTTGCAGCAAACCTTTATGAAGACGTAGCTCTCCAGCAGTTTGCTTTTTCACATGACCCTTTCCATTGGCATTTTCAGCGAGTTCCCTTTGCTTCTCCTTTACTTTGAATAACTTAATCATGGTTCCTGAAATTACAAAGTAATAAATCATCAAAAACATTACCAGCTATTTTCTGAAAACTGAGTGTGCGAAAGGATACAGAAGAATCCTTTTTCAGGAAAAAAGAAAAATGCATGTAGGTATACCCAAAGGCTAATGGAAAAAAAATTTATCTATTCTTGAACAGGCAGGAGGGCAATGTGTTTTAGAAACAACAAAATGCAAGCATCAAGTCAAGGTATGACAGTTCCGCGATATAGCTGCAGATTCAATCTTTAGACAAGTTGTGGTGAGATGCAGCAAACCATCAACTCAAAAGACACCCCCATCCACGATTTAGTGTGTTTAAAAGATTTGGACCTTTTTTTCCAACACAATCATGTGCTCGTTCTTTCTCCTGTCCAATCCCCAAACTCTTTGAAAAAAAGAAGAAGAAGAAGAAGTGAAAAGGCATTACAGAGAAGTGAAAAGAGTTTGTCAACATTTAAATGTCTACATTCATACTCATCAGTTCTTTAATCTGGATTTTTCTCAAAATCTTCCCACAGGTTGAAGACCAGTGACTCTACCCAAAGGGTCTAACCACACGACATGAAGTACAGGAAAATATTTGAGAAAAATATAATTTTTTTGCATAAAAACATTAATTTCTTTTCATGACCTCATATGCTTATTTTAATAGAGAATTAAGAAAACAAATTAAGTATTTCCTATGCTCAGCTCTACACACAAGAAGGCAGAGTTTTGTGATTATTCCACTCCATTAAAGCCCTGAGGAAAAATTGATTCTAACACTGTAATACATGTCTATAATACTGATAGCCCGCTGTCCATGAAGGACACCTGTCTCTTTGAATTTGATCACATCATATAACTCTATTTCCTATACTAAACCAAACAGATAGAATACATTATCGAAGACTAAGAACAACTAAGATTTCAAACTTCCTAGTAATTATACACGCAGTCCAAGTAGTCAAAACTATTAAAACAACACAGAGACTTCATCTAAGTATGTGTTTAGCAGAACACTCTAGGCAATCAGGATGCACAAATTAAT